CGGACTTATCTGATGGGAGGACTTATCTATGAGATTTTAGAGTAATAGCGTTTCGAAATAATTCTTTGCAGAGAGGCAAAAATTATCAGCCATGCCATTTGAAAGTTTCTGAGATGTTTCTAAACTTTTTGAGAAAGTTTAACTCTAGAAGTCAATCTTGACAAAGCCAGTTTGGGTGTTTCATAAACCTTTGCTTTAATATACCATTCAGCAAGTCATTTGTGCAATTTTATAGTTATCTAGACTATTTTGGAATTTAGCTGCCTTACTTTTGAAACAGACGGACGCACAAGGATGGAAAAACAGGGGCTTGGGCTCGAGTATTGGCTTTTGGAAGTAGTCTGTGCGCCATGTTTTCCAATTTTGTAACCCCTTGTTCCAGTGTCTAGATTTTTGAATTTTGAAAATCTGAGAAGTGTGAGAAACTTCTCCTTTTAAAATGACCGGGCTGCCACTGAGGGGGAAATAGTAGTTCAAAGTGATCTTTCTTTCGCGATATTGCTTTGTCCAGAATTTAGCAATGCGATTGTTGAATTATAGCAGCTGATCAGAATGTTTGTAGCTATCCAAAATGAACGAGATGCCATCGGCAAGCGTAAAAAGCCTGAACCAGAAACAGAGGAACTGCTGGATGGCTTGTTACGATCAGAAAAGCTGTGCCAGCAGTTGAGAAGTTCAGTAATAAAAAGTACTGAACAGGTTTGTGTAGGATGTAGATGACTTTCCCTTGATTTTGCTTTTATTATAGCAAATGATGCAGGCCTCCTATGATTGTGGAAAAGTGAAGACATGGCGAATCGAAGATGATCGACGAGCTACTTTGGATGATGTGGGCAAAAGCATACATCAGCAGTTGGTTTTGCTAGTGGAATGGGCCAAATCTCTTCCGCAGTTCACGAGCTTGTCCATGGATGACCAGGTACCTCATACTTGATATAATATTGACAATTTATGAGCATTAACGCGATTGCCCAAATTATCGGTCTATAAGCGGTCCATAAGGCACATCATTCCTACGATTATTGGTTCTGTAGTCTGCGCATAGGGCAGCTTTTCCTCAAAATATTAGGG